TACTGCAGGTATTCCAATACCAACATAGTCTCCTCTCGCAGCCGTTAGGACGTTCGTTCCCAGGTCACCTGGGAACGAACGTCCTAACGGCTGCGAGAGGAGACTAATACCAACATGCATTGTTGGTGGTCATATCACAAACAAGGTTTGAAACTTCAACACTGGTCGTTCCCATGCCCTTATGATAAGGGCCTGCAAGAAACCTTACAATACCCCTGAGATATTAGCATAGTGCCAATTCATGGGGGATTTACATGAAGGACTGACATGAAAAGGTTTCTACTGTTTACAGTGAATATAACATTTGACAAGTCGACCGGCCGGTTTACGTGGAGTCGAATAACATATTAATCATATAATCATGAAAAAAAAAAACAGTTTTTGATGTTTTAAGAATTAAGTTAAAAAATGCTGATTTTTTTTTCAATATCATAATATAATATTGCTATGATTTTCTATTTAACAATTAGACCTCGAGGTCGAGTGGACTACGAGCTAATAGCCCATGAGGTCGAGTCCGCGAGGCCGAATGGGCTATTAGCTCGTAGTCCACGAGGCCAAGAGTTCTAATTGTTTTAGTATAAACATACTAATCGGTCAAATAATGGAAACAAATTGAAATATCCTTAAAATAATTTATTAATGAGATGCCGCCATTTTGAATTTCCCGCGAGTGGTCTATCACAAATTAGACCATTAGTAGAGTAGCCAATCGCAGCGCAGTATGAGTGATAGACCATTAGTATGTTTATACTAAAACTATATATAATGAACTTTAGATGCTGATTTACTTTCTTGTAAGTTTGTAACTTACACAGTGAGGTCTATATTATTTTTTTGAAAGTTTTATCATTTAGTTAATTATWGCTTGTTCAGTGTATTTCGACTGATACTGTATCCTATGTATCAACATCTATCAACTGGTATCGGCAAAGGATAAAGTTATTATTATCATCAATGTACTTTGCTCTTTCAGAGGCAGAACCTGATCAAAAACTGGGTCCCATGAATTAAGTACACTCTTTTAATTCCTTTGATCTACAGAGTTCCTATCACTTTTTTTTATCCCTAAAATGGGAGTTACTTCCTAGCTATCCTCGGCTTCCCCCCTCCTTCCCTAGATCCGCTCTCGTTCTAATTAGAATACACTATGCAGGATATAGTCAACATTTTTGAAAATAGCTGTATGCATAGATTCTGGTGTTGCCTAGCGTTTGGTTTACTTCGTTCAGCTCGTTTATGGACCCTTCCCTTTCGCTCTTTTGACAAATTAATGTAAATTCTACTTGACAGCATACAAACGCTTTGAGAGTGGATATTGTAGCGATAATCATTCCAATTTTACAATGTATTTTCTTTGTAAGGCTTTGTTTGTGATTCTGTACTATACGCCAACGCTTTAGTCGTTACTGCACATGCTTCTATTTGCTTGATTTGGGTAAAATGTTTTACTAAGCACGTGTATGTGACATATATTTATTATTAATATTAGCTGTCCTTGACAACACATGGACACTTTCTTCCCAGTTTAGTTAGTAATACAAGTAATCAGAATTTTCAAATGCTTTTTTTCACTTTATTTCATTCAAGGTTGMTTTCTTTATGCTAAAAAATAATCCCTTAGAGGGGGAGAGATAAAAGTRAATTAATCTGAAGGTGACAATTAGTAAACTGTTTTTCCGAGTTCTTTTGAGTTTGCTTGTGTTTCTATGCAACACACATTTCCTTTTGAGTTCCAATCAATCAAATAGGGCACTTCTATCGGACGCTACAAACCAACTGTTGTAGAATCCATATAAAAGTCGATTCTGTATATTAACAAAGTCAGCAGAGGAATAGTGTCCAGTCAAACTTAAAGACAGTCGAATATCTGAACTAATACTTTTGATTCCGAAGAAACAGGTAAGCAGTCGATTTAAATTGGGTTAAAAAATATCACGTAAAAAGGGAATCTCTTAGACGGTAGTATTGTCTACTACTATAACATTACCACCGTACGATGAAGAATCTCGTGGAATCCGGCAATAATGACTAAATACTGTATCGGGTATTTCAGATATATAAAGTTCATCTCGACCTGGACTACGAAAAAGACATGTCTGGGTTACTGGCATGGAGGTTTGCTGTAGTTCTTATCGTATTGAGTATTTTTGTTGACGACAGTCATGTGGAGGCATGGAGGAGACGACGAAAAGCATATAAGCCTCCGCCTTCCCAAGTAAGTTATATACTCTAAAAGTCTTTTACCAGTTCCTTGCTAAAATACCCACGAAATAGTGAAATTGTAGCGAGTGAGGGACTCATACAAGGTTTAAAATGGTTCTCACTGCATTGAGAGTGCCTTGAATTACTATAATATGGTGTTGAAAACCCTGCGGTCTACTGAAAACATATTTCCCGTAKTGTATTGGATTGTACATCTACACCAGTTCCTCGTCGACTCCTCGACTATGTCGTCTGGACTAATTACTTTATGAACAAGTGTAGATGCAGTGTTTACATTAGATCTCTGCCCTTGAGATGTTCCCTTGAAAATCTATTAGTTTCATCACAAGGACTTTCAACAAACATTTTGTTAAGGCAAATTATTTCAAAGGATATAATCCATTGACTATTCTAGCCTATTTTTGCACCAAGACGATTAGGCCGGGGCTTCGTTATTTAAATACATTTAAGTTTAGCAAGTTCACAATATTTTGAATAGCATTACCGTTAAAAGCATGTTAAGCTCAAATATACACCTAGCACTTATAGTTTTACACAAACAAATGTTGTTTTTTTTTGTTCTCATTGTTGAGATAACGAAGTGGTGGGACCTAGCGGTAAACTAGTGTGAGCTACGTMGGTGTTTCTAAAGATGAAACAGTTGTGTTCAATTTATCTATTTACACAATGAGCTGTTAGCGGACCCTTAGCGAGTTTGCCTCCAAAGGTTTATTCCTCTTTCTCCCTTTCTTCCGTAGTCGAAACTTATATATTACTTCACATGCATTTCTGTGAATGTGAGGGAGAGCGCTAAGCTGTGGATTTAGGACAAAGACCTATATCGCTCGAATTCAGTTTCCACCYACTGTAATTGGTCTGACACACATTTACTCATTTCACTGACATTTTGTTTCATTGGCGATGATGGATTTTTTATTGGTTTTGAAGTCAAGATATAATTTATGTGCAATCACGTTTGATACAAAACCTCTTAGCGAAGATTCATACGACAATGACGATTTTTGATTCAAACTATATAAGGACTGACCATTTGACTTTTGAGGGGAGGAGGAAGGTGTGTGGAGGCATGATAGGGTCTGTGCCGGTTGTTTATGTTATTGTTGTTGCTGCTGCTGGTTGTTTTTGTTTTTGTTGTCCCCTCCCTTCTCTATACTCTACAGGATATTTCTCCCCTTCTTTGGAACTTTCRCTAGAGCGGATTTCATATCTGTGCAAAAGCACGGATCACAACACGGACACGGCACGGCACGGTCACGGAAGCCTCGCCTTCTAGGATTTCAAATGAAAGTAAAGATTTTCCAATGCATCACGGCTACGGCACGGTACGGACACAGCACGAACGTACCGTGTTTTTTCGCACAGTCATACGAAATCCGCTCTATTTGTGCTGCACAAATTGTTTTCGGACCCTTCGTGCTGTACAGGAAATTTCTCTTCAAATCTTTCCACCTCCTCCCTCACTAGTCAAATGGCCAGCACCTACTATATTTCGACGACGGAAATCGGTTCKCATAGCGCCAAACCTTTTGACATGAGCACCACGAGTCTTGTTCTCGAGTATCGGAACTTTTTTTACAACGGATATGCATCGAAACTCTCAGAAAAATGGCACAACGCAACAACTTTTGATGTCTCATTTTGAGTATTGACAATCTTTAATTTCCGCCATCGTGTGAACTCGACCTGAAGAAGCTGATCACAAATCTGAACAAATTACAATGTGGACTTATGGTACTGTCTTTACTKCCAGTAAATCTCAAATTTGGTGATCATGGACGGAAAACAAAACGRCTGTACGTTTAGGAAATTGCTGTTGGGTTTTCGGTACAATCACTACTTGGTTTACTTCGTATTTCATTGAGCAGTTGAGCTCGTATACTTCTTCTTCTAATCGATCATTTAGTTTCATATTGTAGGATGTCAAATGATAATTTCAACTTTTACCCCTCCTTTGACACACAGAAAACACAATACTTTAACTGGATTCTGTGTGTCAAAGTAGGGGTAAAAGTTGAAATTAGACATCCTACAATATGAATATCAACTCCTTTAAGGTCCGAATCCGACAAATTTCAAGAGATCATTTAGTTGTTCACTATGTAAAGACATATTCACGTCCGATCTGTATTGGGAAATACAATGGCGAGCCATACTCAAAAATACATTTGCATAAAAAGGTTTTTAAAATCCCCATGAAGAATTTTAATCAGAATAACCTTATAATTTAGATATATGATATTTACATATGGAGTTTTTTTGAGACTTTTAATTATGTTGAATATTTTTGCAAAGAAATTGTATGATATATGCCAGACTTTGTTGTTGTCTTTATCAACTGAGCAAAGCTAATGGGATTGACTGTATTAGGGACTTTTAGATCTGAGGACGGGGAAGGGTGAGGGAGAGACTAAGAAAAACCTTGATAGTATCTAGAGAGGTGACTACTATTATTATGTCGACATATTCTTTCCTTTTTTCCTCAGTAACAAATACAAAATATAACAAGAAACACCGTTAATATTGCTAATTAAAATCTCTGCTAAATTTGTAATTATGACTTATTGGATTTGTTTAATCGACTGTACAATCACTTAACACCTTTTGTAATTTTGATTATTTTTTAATTACAGTCAAACAATGCCTCGTACTACGTGAGCTAGCTATCTGGAYCAGTCCATCCCTCTGGTGTCATGCGCTCTTCAAATTAGCTTTACTTCATGACATTTTTCAATCGTAATGGCGGAGTGCAAGTTTTTTTACAGTCTGATTATAGTTTAAAACACGAGAGAGAGTGTTTCATCGAGCCGAAGGCGAGAATCTTTATACCTGATAAAACACGATCTCGAGTGTTTTAAACGGCTTAAAAAACTCCATAACTAATTTGAAACTCAAATCCGTTAAAATTCTTGTAGACATTGCCGTACAAATATGTTCAGAGATAAATGGGGCAAACTGATCATGCGCGAATCACTTTACAAAGCACTCTTTTCATCCCACATTGAATACGCATAAAGTAAAATAGAACCGCTCTTGGCTGTTCAATGAACTCGGTTGACATCCTGCATTGGTCAATGATCAGGTTTCAAACCTGAGACCTTTGCTAGGGTCACGGACCTTTATATCTGATAAAGGTCACCCTTATAATTGGCATTGTTTATATAAAGAATACTAATAAGGAGTGTTTTATCAGATATAAAGGTCCATGCATGTGACCAAATAGGCTCATTCTATTGGCCTAGTAACTCATTAATTATGTATGAGTTTTTTAATTATCTCATGAGCTTTCAATAACAAACTATTTCTTCATGAGAGCTTTTGATTTATGAGCGGATCCAGGATTTTCCTCAGGGAGGGTAGCAGGGCTCTCAGGAGGTTGTGCAACCCTGACAAAAATCATTACCATGGAGATACAAAATAAGGAAAGTATTGAATGATATAGATCGGGGGGGGGGGGGGGGGGGGATCCGCCCTCAAAATATGAAGATCAGTCGTTGATAAGTTCATATCCTCTTTACATTTAGAATTATGACTTGGGTAACATATGTCCAGTCCCGGTGGGGCGAGCGGGGATGATAGTCGTATAGCGACAAAAAGCAGAGATCTGATATCTTTTAGGATTTCTCAAGGGTTTTCGGGCCACCACAGGATGATATGGTGTCCTTTTATGCCATATCAGCTTAATACGTAAAGATAACAACAACCTCTCAGACAGCTCACTCGATTGATCACGTTTAATATTTAGTTGGTATCTTTTAGGGGTAACTAGACGCTCCTGGAGCGTGAAGTCGGACTAGCTATTTTTGAAAATTGATAAAGACACGAYAAGATTATGATGTTATATTCTATCTAATCATATGACATGATATGATTATGAATGTAAATTATGGCGTAGAATATATATTTTTTTAATTCTAATACAAACTGAAGGCAAGAATGCATTACTTTCACTTTAATTAATGTACTTTCCAAAACCGTTTATTCACACGATACGATATTCTTTTTGACTGCTCTCTGCAACGACTTCAAAACTATAGAAATCTACATCATTTGACTTAAAAGGTCATGTAATTAATACCCTGCGAACAACTTACAACTGAACTGATAAAATCAAACGCGGTAGACGAGATGTCGCTAAGTGATATCATATCTAATACGTTTTTAATTCAAATTGTTGACCCCTTAGACCCCCCCCCCAAAAAAAAAATATATATATATATATAAGCTTTTTGTTATTGATGATAAACAAAGTTTCTTTTTGTTCTAATTTGAAATCCTTGCCCAAACAAGACTGTCTAGCGCTAGAATTCAGTTTCGTAAGCATAAAGCATACTACTCGAAGCTCCATGCGATGAGATCAGATACCACATTTGTAAACGTGTAATACGCTAAAGTGTATTTCACGGGTTAATGAGAACCACTCTAACACAGCCAACCCAATAGTTAATTATTAAATTTTTAACTTGCGGTGGTCCAAACGCGACATGACACTTAGATGGATAGATTGGCTAGTCCGACTAAAAATATTGTGTTGCAACGCCCTTAAGAGCCTGGTAAAGGGATAAAATTTGCACGATCACTAGTCCCACCCTACCCAAATCATGTAAAAACTTGGTATCTGTAAACGAAAGAGAAACGACAAAAACGAGGTGTTTTTTTCTTTTTTCTATTGTTTTTTCTTTTCTTTTTATTTATTACTTAATTATTTTTTTTTGTACCGTCAACAGTGTCATGGTTGTAGTGGAAAGACATGTGCATATTATTATGGCAAACACAAATGGATTCAATTAAGATCATGCAAAAAATGTGGTTCTGGCTGTAGGTGCAAATACAGTTATAGTATAGGAAACGGAAAACCACCTTACGTATATAWATGTAAACCATAAGAGAGACATCAAGGAACCAGATCCTGCTGACAGTCGATGGATGAAATTTGTTCCAAACGTCTGCAATATTTATAAATGTRAAATAAAGAAGAGACAAAATTTTTCTGGCTGTTTCAACATGMATTTTCCCAACTAAATTAGGATTTTCTCCCAAATGACCGCCCGTCATTAGCATTGTTCTTTTTTTAGCACGGCTATCTTTCAATATGACGCTAGGAACCGTGCGTCGTGCGTAAAGTAAGCTGTAAAGTAAGCMATCATCTTTGAATTTTTTAAAATGGGTTTACACATCCATGTGCCATAATGTAGAATCCTACATGCTATAAGGGTTGTCCATTATTTTCACTATTTTTGTGAAAGGTCTGGTGAAGGTGATACGTATTTTTAATCCCATTACAATTGAAGTAAATTTCTTTCATCGAATTCTCTCAATGTTATGTAAAATTGCTCTTCAAAAACTKAATAAAACWTGTCCACTTCTGCATATACATTTCTATCCGCACACACTACATTTTCGATATAAAATTCCAGGAATTTCTCAAGTATTTCTTAAAGTGCGGGTGCGATGAAAACCGAGCTGTTCTTGTTCCGTACGCCTCTTTACGGAGATCCAAATAAGTACTTTGTGATGATCGAAAATCGACGACAGTAATGGCAAATTTCAACATATTCTTTTCACCTAAAATGTAAAATACCTTAAGTATAATTTATAGTATAAAATGTCAAACATCGTACCCGCACTTTAAGCACCAAAATGCAATTTTTCAATGACAATGATTCAATATCTTTTTTAYGTTTACGGTACCCTGCGAGCAGAGTGTATTTCCTTACCTCAATAAAAATTCGCTTACGGCTGTTTCCGGTGGGGATTTTTAATTTTTTTAAAGAGGATTCCAGTTTTTGAGGTTTCTCTGAATTGGGATACCACAATTGCCTATTGTTTCATTAATGAGTTTTAAATAGAAAATGCCAAACAAACGCACAAAAAATTCTGACATTTTGCAGGTGAACAAACAATAGGAAAATTGATACGTTAAATAACTTTTTTTCACTGATATAATATGTTGAATATTTTGTTCATTGATTTATTAGTCCACACAAATACACTTGTTTTGATGCATAAAAAGTTAAGAGCTCAAAGTMGTAAAGTTCATAGTTTTAATATCTGCTCAGGCATTGGTGTCACCCACTTGGATGTGTTATATACACTTTCACCAACAGTCCAGTCTTTCACATCTTTCATTATCAGTTCTTCATCTCTCTCATTCTCTTTGAGAGCTTTAAGGATTCTGTTTAAAATAAGATAGAAATTATTGTGATATTGGATTGATTTTAATTAACCTATAAAATACAATGATTACATTGACTATATTTCACTTTATTTCTTTATTGTGCTTGTKTTTCTTTGTTCTTTCCGAGTACAATTTATTACAGTCTTTATCTAAAACACTTTCTTTCAAACAGTTTAGTGCTATTTTCATTAACTCTCATGAAACAAAGATAAATACAAGATTGGTTTATTAAAAATTAAGTGTAATGAAGTGTAATACATCAAAAAGATAAAGAAAAACATTCAAAATAAAGAGTAATAAAGTGTAGTACGTTAAAGTGTATTTCACAGTTTAATGAAAATCACTGTATGAAGCCCTTTCTGGACCAATAAGTATAGTCTATTTACACAATTGCATCTTCAGTTTATATAAAAATTGTCTGTGTTTTGACTAATTGTAAGATGAGCATTCATAGGGTGCCAATTTTACCAAACAAAAAATCATCTTTATCCATGTTTTCTATGACAAAACATAGTAGTCTCTGTCTCTGAATGACAAGAACAAAAAGCAAACCTTGTCAACACAGGATTATGTTACAGCTGAAATAATTAGCTTCTACAATGTTTTCAATCATTTTAATATATTCTAACAGAATGATACATGTAGGAATTTAAGCAAATTTGCAGGGTAACATTTTGCATAGATTATGTAGGCAGGGTTCTCAGTAGAAGCTGGCAKCTGGTGAAAGTCGCCAGTTCTAGCTTAGTTAATCATAGGCTACTTACAAATTTATTTGCGAATTATKTGGCTGTACCCTTCCTTTTTTGACATATACTTTTCCTATTTTGATGTCTACTTTTTTAATGCTATTAAAATTTCATGAAAACTATGGATTCATTTTGGCAATTTCTGGTTCTGTCACCTGAATCTAAGTGTTCAAACTGTGTAGAATATGCTGTGTGCAGAAACATTGRCATTATATAATAATATAAAATTTTTGATATATAATGCGCGCTCTGATTGGCTAACGACCGTGTTTATATCACAGGACAGAGACACGGCTTACCGGCAAAATTTTCTTTTYGCTCAAAAAATTTTATAAAACAAATATAAAACGACGCACGTGTCTCTGTCCTCTGATATAAACACGGTGGGAGTTGAAAAACACTCGAGAAGCAAGAGAAACACTCACTACGCTCGTGTTCCTAAGCTTGCTTCTCTCGTGTTTTTCGAACTCCCACCGTGTTTATATCAGAGGACAGAGACACGTGCGTTGTTTTATATTTCTTAAATATAAATGTTATTATTATAAAAATAATAATAATAATAATCTTCCTACATCCTCGCCAAGTTTCAGCTTCCAACGATCAATATCAACRTTGATTTTCATTGAATCCAAACAAATGCAAATCCCCTGATCATAACTTGATTTGTCATGTTTGTTTTTCCTATTAGCTTAGAATAAAAAAACCTAGATTATTGTGAGGAATCCTGTCAGCAAGTTAAAAGTTTTACAAGTTTCATTTGTTTTTCGCTCTCAACCAAACATTTCAATCATAACACAGGAATCCCAAGCAATGTAAAGAACCTCTGAAAGTCAAGTGTTTATTCAGGTAGTATCAAAACAACTAAATACTTCTAAACACTGACCTTCTGTCACTTTCTGCTTGTAATACTGGCAGTAATGCAATCCTGGCTTGTAGCTGTTCCTTTCTTAATTCGCTGCATGAATATAGACAATGTTAGAGACACATTTCCAATTTTCTAATCCTTCGTAATAATACAAAGTGATTATTGCAAAGTAAAGTTTGGCTTAATGGGGGACACATACGAGACGACCCTAGACCCCTCATACAACATACAACGTTGTTGTTAAGGCTCGGTTCACACATCAATCTTTTGCCGCATTTAATCTAATTGGTTGATATAGAAGATGAGATCCTGATGATGGTGGCAACCAGTGAAAGCTTCAAGAGGCAAGCTTATTAATTTAACTTACGAAATGCTCATGTGTAAACTCAACTCCCGTCTGAACTGGAATTATTTACTCCCTCTGGCCTCTTTTTCAGTGTTTTATAAAAGCGTGGTCATATATGCATCACCTCAAAGTGTAATTTGATGTCAGCAATGTGAAATGTTTACAACGTAAGCTATTTCTTTTGATYCAAAAGCTTCAKTTTTTTTGCACTTACCACCTCTGTCTATTCCCACGAACAACCATAGCAAAACCAAATGACATAACTAAACCCCCTCCAAGTATAACAAGATATCCAGAAGGGCCTCGTTTTGGCAGATTCTTCGCAAAATCGATGGGAGCATAACCACCTTTTCGTGGCAGCTCTTGCTTCAAGRCCGACATCTTGGATGAACTGAGCATCATGGGAAGATTGTTGGACGAGTTAGGACTGTAAACGAATGGAGAGGTAAAGGCAGTCCGGCCAATAATAGATAGACAAATAGATCCTTAGATATTTTATTGATAAATACATCGCAGCTAAAAACTGAATTGCGCATTTTACAAAGATTATATAATATATTTAAAAAAGTAGAAGTAGATAAATAGATAAATAGATAGATTAAAAACATTTCGAAAAAATAACCTGCAGATAGTATACATCATTATTGGCGGTTGACTTTAGACTACTAGCCGAAGCAATAAGACAGCTTTTTCTAAATCTATTAGTCTTATAATTAGTCAAGACAAAGGTACTCTCGTGCCGTAATCTGCATAAGGTTGTGCCTCAGTTTAGTTGAAACAGGAATCCCACCCGAGTGGATGTACCGTCTTCCGTCTATTGATCGTTTTCACCCATTCCCATGAAATTCAAAAGATTAAAGACCGCCGGCCATGTTGGAGGAATGAACAACAGATATCAATGAGAAATCCTTTGTTAAACTTCCTCATAGATGACCGCTGTGACGTAACCTGAAAACGAAGAATACACGAAGAATACACCTGAATATCAGTTATTTTGGAGAAAAAACGGAAAGGAGAAAAATGGGAAGAGCCCTTCGTTTACTCAGGTTACCCCCTACACTAATCGCATACGTCGCTAACTGACGTGTGGGGCAAAATTGGACAGATTCATATCCGTAGTTTTCATATCGATAGACCGTACGTGAGCGATAAGAAATTCAAACCGAGAGCAAACTTTGAGCAGACTGGGTCCAGGTGGTCTGTGAAGGCAAATAATAATGWGACGTTGCACTGACTCTTGGTTTAATCTTTCTACAGTTTCTGAACTTAATTCTCAGCCGTTATCTTGCGAACTACGCCGTAYGTCTGGCGTGACATTTCACCTGTCAGTCAGTGTAGTATCGGTACACTCGTTCCCAATCCCCCACTCTCACAATATTAAATTTCCTTTTGACAAAGACAAACGAAAGGAAAGATGTTTTTCTACTTATTAATAATAACTTTTCTTAAAAACTGATGTAGAAGATAATGCCGAAGCTTCCCTACAACCTTTTTTAAGGTCGTATGACAAAAAATAACACTTTAAAATTCCGTGCGGTTTATTCCACGAACCAGAGTGTATAACCTCTTGGTATTAAATCAAATGAATATAAAATCATTTCACGTTTTTGATACTATAGAGAACACAAATAGCTCAAAATTTGCTCTTTTTGAAAACCCGTTTCACTTGAGTTGTTTTTTCAGTTTTGCTCCTGACGCACTTGGGAATAGACCTTGATGACGTCAATCGAGCACTTAAAATAAATATATTATCTCTTGTCAACAAATTACCTAAACTACTTTGCGACAAACCCCCTCCAATTCATTCGGTTCTCTTTTTTATTTAAAAAGTTTCAATTTAATGGTCTCTTTTTCTCGCTGAAACTTTAGGATGCACCGCGGTCATTCCTCGTTCTTAATACAGTCACTTTTGATATGAATAGATGTGGAAATTGTTTAAAAACAGTACAGAAAATAAACAAAATTTGGTTAGAATCTTTCGGTGATTGGATTAAGCATAATTTTGTTTTGGGCTTGCTGTGGTTTTAGAAAACACGAGGCTTATTGCATGTCAAGCGTGACAGTACTTTTGTAGATACTGTATTATGATTGGTTGTTTCCAATGTCAATTGTTCTCCTATGGTCAGCAAAGCTCAGAAGAACGCCCGGGTCCTTTTAACACACAGCTTTATAGACTATTCTCACGTTTTAGATGTAAAAAACCCGATTTATTGTATCTACGACCGTCAATTTCTCAAATCTGTCACTTCTAATATCAAAGGATACTTTTACATCAAGAAAACGCCATTTTATCAGGTATTTATGTTGTAAAAAACGTTTTTTATTTCTCCTCTGTCTCTGTCAAGCATCCAAGGCATGTATGATGGAGTGACTAGATAAAATTTGTGTTGCCTAAAAATTGGTCGTGTCTTTTGCTTTCAAACTTATGCTATGTGATATATAGTAATCCTATGTATTGTAGATGCCTTTTTATCATTATTTTATGATGGTTTAAGTAGAAATTTCGCTATTTTGAAGTCACCATCACCCATGATATATGTTGATGAATAACAAACATGAATCAATTTGAATTTCTAATTTTGTCACATTGCTAAAAGTTTTTCTTTAATGTTTTTAATCGACGTCGCTCTCATTGGAATAACAAGATGGCAGGAATATGTAAATACTTTAGATCAATATTCTCACTTTTAAAAAAGTCGATCGCTCAAGTACAAGCACAATTATTTAGAACCAGTAGTCTATACATGTACATGCATACTTGCTTTATTGTGGTTCGCCATGCATGCATTCAAGTTAATTTTTTCAATACRCTCTTTTCATTTCATTCGACTCCACAAGTTTGCGTATTCTTTTAGCTTGCCAAGAAGAATACGAGATCTTTATATTCCTGTTAGCTCTTAATACAATGTGGGGCTCGCATTACAGTGTCTGTTTTAAATAAATTTGACGAGTTTTCGATGACAACCCAAGTTGGTGTCTCTGAACACTGCCCGAGCGATGATAGACAAACCGCGTGGTAGTTTAGCCYCCAGCCACAACAACTTTAGTAAACAAAATGGGCGTGCATACTACTAAACTACAAAATAAAGACAAAATTCTGTTAAAGTTGCCAGTGCTTTAGTCGTGTATTTACTGTACGTTTTTTTGCCCTCCAGTTAAAGGCTGTTTATTCTTACCATAAGCGTTCTAAAAGAGGGGTTTTGCTGGAAGGTAATGTGTCATTCATGTGAAGTGTCTTTCACAGCACAATATCTACGGGATATTCCATCCGTTTCCAAAGATGTTGAAAAAAAACATTTATAATTTGTAATTTACGTTTTCTCTTAACCGTTAAGTTTGTAAAATTTTGTTTTTCAATTTTCTTAATATGAAAATTAAAATATTCACGTTCAATTTCCATAGTAATATGTCAAGCTATTGCAGTATGAGTCGTATATATTACGAGACTTAGTCACATTGTAAAGAATTCAATTGAATTCTCTATTTCTATTGTTAAAGGTGTTTAGCTTGAACCAATCATAAAGCTGTTTGGACAATGATTAAAAACCTAAATGTGATAACTTTAATCCATCATGAATATTAATGTTATCTATGCCGTGATATGTGAATATGTTTAGACAAAGAAGTATTCCAGTACTATCCAATCAGAGTTAAGATGATTTTTGATATTTACATAGGATATGCATATGTTATTGTGTTTTTTGGTTCATTGCCTATTCATGCTTACAATCTGCAGGGGGTTTTATAGCCTTTTGAAATTGAACTAAATTGATAATTGGGACTGAAGTTTGAGAATGGTAAATACTTAAGAAGTCAAGTCGTTTTTCTCCATCTTGTTTCTTTTAGTATGATAGTATAATGGTGTATTGTTGTTGAACCTCTATTCTGATATGTCCTTTTGTTGTGATTAGGTTAGGATTCTTTTAATGAAAATGGTTTCAAAGGTGAYATGAGTTTTATCTCGTTTTCTGACCTTTATATTGTTTATAGTTTATTAATGTACAATTGCAAAGTTAAAATATTAAAAAAAGCAACATACAAGCCCTGAATTGTTGTCAAAAATATTCGTCTGCCTTAAAGTTTGTCTTTTGTGACGTAATAGACACTCTGAAAAGCTCACACAGTGAGACTAGGGCTTTGAATATTGAATTGACAGTAAAAACTTAACATGATATTGTTGCTGAATGGTACAATTAAAACACTACAAGACAAATTTGTTTTGTATTTGTGAGTTTTTATAAAGGCAGTGTCTCTAATGTCATCATTTTCCATGCAMTCAATAAATGGCTGATGAAAATGCAAAAGCCATTTGGCAAGTAATCCATCTTCCAGGTTAAGTATATACATAAACATTGGGCAGATTACTATTCAGTTTGTGTTTTTTCATTGAGTATACTTTTCAAGAATTAATGTTTCACTTATGTAAGACTAAAGAGCTCAAAATTGAAATCAGCCAGAGAACAGGAAAACTAAATTGATATTATAATAAAAAATTGTAGCTTCTTATTTAGTTGGCTTTTTAATTATTGTCTTTGTAGCTTCTAGGTTACTTTATATTATGAGAACGTAATATTATTTTGTCTGTTTTGGTGTAAAATACTCCTTAATAGTTGAATAATTAATCAGAGACAGAAGTCCAACATTGCAGAAAAATTCTGTAATGATTAACAGTATATGATACTGTTGTGAAAATCAGTTACATTGTTTTACAATTGATTCTGTAAGTAATCTTCAAAATGATTTTTTCTTTGTTTTTTAGTAAAAAGTAARTAGAATATTGCATGACAACAACACAATTAAGGGACTAATTTCAAAAATGGCCAAGCTCYATTACCCTTGTGGTGTAAAGTATTGCTTATTCACAACAAATATTCAGTTTAATGACAAATTAAAAAATTATTTTTTGGGGATGTCTTTATGTTATAAGTTTGTATTCAGAATCTTTTTAATTTCAATTACAATATATACCATATTTTAGTTTCAATTTATTTTTATTATAACCATTGCATCTAAAGGCATTGACAGTTTTTATTTGCCAATCTATAATCTTAATATTTGAGCTTTAATAAATAAGCTTGTGGCTGTCAGTTAACAAATAAAGTAGCTGATCAGAATATGCATTTGAAAATCATTATCAAAAGTGAATAACATTTGGTTAACAAAAGAAGGAAAGATTTCACAGTCAAATAAATATAGACTGCACCTCGATCTTTTTTCTTTCTTTTCTCTTTTTTTCTTCCCTCCCYTAAAACAATTTAATGACAATATCCAGAGATCCTTCAATATCTAACTTTTACTTCTTGTTTTGTCAGGAATCATGCAAAAAATAGAGCATAAATCAATCAAATAATAAAAACCATGACAATCATTGTCCCTAAGTTGCCCCAAGCTTCCAAGGACAAGCCTAGTGAACCCAACTCAAGACTAGGACTGTCATCCACCACCATATCCACAAAATGTGCYGAGGATAATAACAATTCTAAAGCAGTTGTATCACACCCAGTTTACAAGTCATCATTCAAAAACATCAGCGCATCGTTATCATTAGTTATCTCTAAGAAATCAGCAAACAATGATGCTGGGCACATGGATTGTACACAGAACAGCCAATCAATCCCTGGATTTGGTTCAGATGTTAAGGTTGTAACCCATGGAAGACGTCGCAGTGTTGATAAACAGTATAGGCCAAGTCAACCAACAGGAAACAACAATGGTGGAGGTAGAACTAGTTCAAGAAGAAGTGGAAGGTCTTATCAGAATTATGACAACAATTCTAGTAATGGCAACTCTGGCGCTGATGGAAATGGAGAAGATAATGATGATAGTGATGATGACGGGGATGATGAGTACMTTGATGAGGATGATGATGAAGAGGAGGAGGAGGAAGAAGAGGAGGAAGACGATGATGATGATAAAAATGATGATGAAGATGATGACGACCAGCAAAATAATAGTGTTGACAACAGCATTGACGAAAAGGTTCTTGCTACATTTGGATTGAAGGTACATATAAACATACAAAACAAGCTWAAACAACCTTTCCTCTTACTCATGAATAYAGTGCACTATAACCATTGTCCATGATCTTGTTTTGAATGAAAGGCATTGTTCAAAGCATTTCAAGTTTCTAAGAAAAGAATGTTATATCTATTTAAAATATACAGATTGCAAAAAAGTGCTTTTAGGAAGATTTCATAGACTGTGCGCCACAAAAGTATAAAGCAATTCTTAACTGTATATAAAAATAACCTAATAAAAATTTAGTTGTCAACAATGTTATGCACTAACTAAGAATTCACCAAAGCATAGACTAGACAACAAAAGACGTACAATATGAGATAAAAGGCATCTTTAAATTTCTTTGTCATTGGGTTTATGCCTCKGTGAATTCTTAGTCAGTTGATGACTGRATAGATCCYGACTAGATAWTATYAGTGCTARATAGTTGAGAATTGTCTCTAATCATACACTCTATTTTGTAATTACTACTTAATTTGATATTAATGTTATATGACAAATTGTTTTTTTAAAGGTACGTGGTGAGTCAACAGTGGACTTAGAAAATGCAGAGAATGTTGGGAATAGTCCAATACCCCCTGGTACACCAATAACAYTGCARGGAATAGTTTGCCATGAAACCATAGGAGGTTAGTGCATTACATAACAATATGTGATTCAAATATTTATTTTTGAAAACATTATTCAAAACATGAATAATTTGAGTTGTTGATTGCTCATTGAGTTATATTTGAAGGTCAATTTGAGACTGCAAAAATTCTTTTTTTTTCTTTTTTCTTTCTTTATTCTTTTTTCTTTCTTAATATTTTTATTTTTATTATAATTTTTTTATAATTTTTTATAATTTTTATTTTTATTTATTTATTTCTGTCATTGTTATATTATTTATTGTTTTGTATGATTTTGAGTATTTTCTGTGCTTTCTCAGAACATTGATTAATTCATTAAGCCAGGCACAGCAAATCAGATTCTGTCTCAAATCTTAGCCAAGGAGTAGATTTTATTTTAATAAATTTAAAAAAATTCTGTGTTCAAATGTGTTCAAATTTGAGTAGCAACATTGTTTATTATCTCATGACCAATATGACCCAAATTATAGGAGTGAAATTTTTCATTAGCTTAAGATTTTAATGAAAAACACAGACGTCTGCGTTTTTAATTTAATTCTTAAGCTAGTGAAAAATATTTTTATTCAGTTTTTATTATGACTCTTCCTATAGCTGCAATTTAGAAGTGACATATGCTGCATTTTTTTCCCTCAAACATTACATTATAGTAAACATTTTTGTGCTATATTTAAAAGGTGTATTGGTTGTTAATATCAAGTGGCGTAATAAGATATACTGTGGGTCACTAATGGACTGCACAAGACATTCTTGGGCAAGACCAAGGTATGCTGTTATGAAACCACTGTTATTTACTGTGTGATACAGCAATATGCAGAAATTATGATCATTCTGAAGTTGCATAGCACTAGTACTTTCTGAAAAAATATTGGCAATTTGATATCCCATAATTTGTGATATATTTTATATGTATACAGTATACTTGAAATATGTGAGCAAAAAAGATCATAATTTCTGAATATTGCTGTATATAAATGATATTACATGGATGTGTTTGATATGGATTTTATCTTTGAGTGTTCTCTTGATATCTCACAATGTTGTTCCACAATGTATCATTATTGTTCACCCATAGATTCCAGTCAACTGATGGTGGTAATCATCCTGGAAAAACAAGGATGGGTAAAAGTATTGGTCATGGTAAAGGMAAAGGGAAAGGCAAAAGGCTGAGGAGTAATTCAGTAACAAGTACTAATTCCAACAATCATACAGGTTAGCCTGATACCACTTCTAAAWCAGTTTTACTTATAKGTCCAATATGACCTTTATTACATGTGACAAGGTCAAGATTGTGTTACATTGTAATCCATGTTTGGCAAATTACATGGGCAATCATGTTTGTAACATTACACACAATTTACACTAAACCAGTTCTACTCCAGATTTGGCCATCTTTGGTTGTGTTTAGTTTTGTCTGTGTGTTATGTTTCTCCAACTACTTATATCAATATGAACCTTATAGGCTACATACATGTATAGAATAATATGTCATAATCTGTGGCTGCATGATTTTGTTTTAGAATTTTAACAATTTATCACTAACTTTTCAATATAATATCAATATAATACTCAACCCCAAATGGTAAAGTAAAATATTGCTATCATTCTCATGTGTACAGATAACCTTTAAGGTATGGTAGATGTTGGTGGGCCAAAAACCTTTAAAGCACTGCCGGCCCTGCTATAGTCATTATATATTATATCGTTATTGATTTTAAATTTTGTGTCAACTGGGGATCATATAATAATTAATATCACATATCATCAGAACAATCATGAAAGTTTTAATCAAGGTATTCTGTTTTTGTATCAGTGAGTCCCTTAAAGCAAAAATTAAGAGGGAGAAAGAAGACAATATCTGGCAGTTCYGTTGAAAAGMGACAAGGATTCCGTTCCAGCAAAAGAAAACCAAAAAATGATGATGACAGTGATGATTCAACACGTCCAGGTAAAAGAACYTGCACAGTAAAGGGAGCTCCATCCCCTACACCATCACCAACTCTAATACCATGCCCTGAACCTGGCTGTGAGAAGAAATACAAACATATTAATGGACTGAGATATCATCAAGCACATGCTCATTTAGAGTCCAAAAACCAAGATGAGGTATGTATACCATATACAACAGTCAACTGAAAGTATTGTAGAATTATATATGTATGTCCTTCAGTAGTTGGAGAGAATAAATTGAAATGCGAATGCAGCCTACTACTGGAAAAGAAGCCAGAAAAAAGTCAGATTCAAAGTCAGATTTTTCTGGCTTCTTTTCCAGTAGTAGGCTGCATTCGCATTTCAATTTATTGTAGAATTGTTTTCATTTGATCATGCAATGAAAATGACTGTTTAGTTAGTATTTTGGATAGTCTTTCACGTTTTTGCAAGATATTATCCAATGGGTTTACTAGCTTTTTGTTAAATAAAAGAAAACAATAGGATCTAAGAACGTGGAAACAATGAGCATTGTTTTTTTCCTCCAATCATAAGAAACCTTACAAACTCGTGAAGGATAACAGAATATTTTGTGTCCATGGTCTATCATAGATCCAGCATTCTGATTGGCTACTTAACTATTTATGATATACCATTGTTGCATCTATTAAAGTTGAAATGTTGTTTATAGTTTGATGGATACTAGAACAATTAGACCATGTGGTCTTGATACATGGTCTCAAATCAACTCACAGTTCAATTGACCTTGTGGTCTAATAGTCCACTTCGCGGATAATTCGAAATTTTACATTACGTCGTTACGGTAAATCATTGACATCACTGGAAAGAGCGTCATAAAATCAGCAAATTTGCCAGGTTTGAAAATAATCTGATTTTAATTCAAAGAGATACGGCACTTCAAAAACGCTAAATTTTGTATAGAAATGTTTGGCCAGGTTGTAACAAGTCAAGGTCAACCTCGGTCTCAYGCCGACAGCCATACATTTCTTTGTAAATTTTGCCGACTTTTAAACGCTGTTTCTCCTTGAATTTTCATCGAATCATGCTCAAACCTGGTAAACATACTAATTTCATACTGTTCTTTCCAGTGGTGGTAATAGTTTTTCGATATTTGCTCAATTTCTAATAGCTGTGTTATCCGCGAAGTGGACTATTGTCAATCAGCCTCACTAATCATTATTAGTATAAACATACTAATGGTCTATCACTCATACTGCGCTGTGATTGGCTACTCTACTAATGGTCTAATTTGTGATAGACAACTCGCGGGAAAATCAAAATGGCGGCATCTCATTGATAAATTATTTTAAGGATATTTCAATTTGTTTTCATTATTTGACCCATTAGTATGTTTATACTAAAACAATTAGACCTCTCGGCCTCGTGGACTACGAGCTACTAGCCCATTTGGCCTCGCGGATTCGGCCTCATGGGCTAATAGCTCGTAGTCCACTCGACCTCGAGGTCTAATTGTTAAATTGTAAAAAAAGTGACTTAAAATAACAAAGAATAGAACAGTGCAATGTTTGGTGTCTAAAWACTGTGTGGCTCAAAAGTAACTTTGATTTTTTCACATCAGGATAATAATTCAGATGACAGGTCTAGCACTACACCTTCACCAAGTGAAGAGTTTAAAGAACCTGATCCATTGACCGCAGTTAAAAGCAGATCATCAAGCATCACCTCAAGAAGTCTTGGTGAATCATCTACTGCATCTTCTTTYAGCAGCCTTGAAAAAGAACCAAGCAATGAAGATGAAAAACCCATCAAGAAAGAATCTGACATGTCTGTAGATTTGAAAAGTGATGAGAAGATCTGTGAKTCCAAGAAAGARACTGAACAACRYGAAGATACTGCAGAAAATYCTGTAGAAAAAAGCACTGATAAAGAGGAAGAAAAAGAAATCCAAACCACAGAACAAGACAATAATATAAAAGAGGAGACTAAGAATGATAGTGAGTTTGTTGAAGTAGCAGACAAGTCAACAGACACATGTACTGTTACTACAGCATCTTGCACGAAACACTCTTTTAATTTGATGACAACAGTTATACCAGCTAATGAAGTTCCTGAAGTGGCTGATACCCAGGAGGTRTGGGAGACAGTATTGGACAGTGGATGTGTTACAACAGCATCAGATAGCGAGACCAAGAAATCTAGTGATGTAACACAAGGCAAACAAGATGGCAGCAAAGGAACAAAGGATGAGGGACAGCAAGTAATGATAACAACTTGTGGCATAAATCAACTTGGTATTGAAGTTGAAGATATAAGTGAGAATGAGGAGGACATTGACCCAGGGCAAGGTTTGTACTTCTAGAATCGCAACAATAAAGTGCTACTTACACAAAAAAGTTCATATTTCAAAATTCAAATATATGATTAATTTACTGGTGTTGGGAAAGTTTAGACTGCTGGTGGTGTGRTTCATTCATCACTTTTTTTTCATAGAGATATGGTATTATTGATCATGTCATTCATTCCTTGCAGATATTGAATTCAACAGTAGAGAAGAGATGGAGAAAGCTGTGGAGAACTTACAAAGTGGSTCATTTGTAGCATCACTGAGCACTGAAAATAATTTGCAAATGTTGTCATCTTTAAAGGATCCGAGCTTGATTTTTGGACTGAGCAACAGAGACAGAATGATTGATGAAAAGGAACCTGGAGATGATACAGAAATAGAGCCCGTTTCAGAGTCTCTGGAAACTACTACGAGAAAACCAGAGAATATTACTGAGAGCACTAAAGCTGTTACAGCAGCAAGCAATGTTCTACCTTGTACAATAAGTGTTGAAACCCTTGTATCTCGAAGTATTACTGCAAGTAAACATGAACCTCCATTAACGAATGCTGACACACCTTCTAGTCGTTTCAAATACTTCCCTTGTAGGAGTTATGGCGATGAATCATTGTCCGTCTCGAACATTAATAATACAAATACCACAACACTGGCTTTGATTAGAGATCCAGAATTAATTAAAAATGATACAAACCATATCGCTACTACATCGGTGTTTAATACAAATATCGACAGTTCGGTGGAATCTACCAAACCAAGCTATACTGGATCAAGTGGATTTAATCAAGAYTGCACAACTTCATCGATACATAGTCACGGACCAAAGGAAGAACTCAAAGAGCAGTCTCCCGTCGGAGATATTATCAAGTCACACACTGCTGTTACATCGGAACATCATTCCAGCGGTCATTCATCATCTTCTTATACCTCTCCTAAGAGCTCAACCACTACAACCTACAATACTAAAGTTTATCCTTCACAATTGGAAATGCCAAATACAAACGATRCGAAGTCTCGAAGAATGAATAATTTAGGAAATATTGAAAAAGAAAACTCAAACAAACAAAAAGATTTGGGATCATCTGGCGAAGAAAAGAAGACTGATGAGACTGACAAATCATCTGTGATGTTTTCTAGACAACCTTCTACTCTCATCTCAAAACATAATCGACCGTCGATACCATCTTTGCCAGTTGGYGTTGCTCATCCTTATCAGTACAGCAGTATGGCAGCTCATTCTTCAGGTAAACACTATAATCTCTAAAAAGCGTTTTATAACTAAACAAATTTTCCTCCGCTCTCATTGGTCGATAGTCGACCACGTAACACGATTGTGCCCTCAAAACAAAAAGGAAAGCTACAGAATGCAAAGAAAAAAAATGCATCTACCAAATCATCTAAAACAACTCGTAYCCAGTTAATGCAAAGTAATTAGGAGGTGAAATATCTATATCAATGTTCTTAGGTACAACTACCTCAAGTCACACTGTTTCTCAAACAGACTCTAACGTCCCAAAGTGTGACGAGGGAGAAAGCAGAGTTGTTTCAAAGGAGAAGCCTGTCGGTGAGGTAGGGCCTGTTAGTGTAAAAAGGCCTGCTATACATGCAGGCTTGCCTACTGTTATACCTGTTGGAGCGCCTGGATTAAAGACTCAAGCATCGTTACACGTACCAATAAGACAAGGTAAGGTAGTGTGCCTCTCAGCCCATGTAACTCCAGGAAACACATCCTGGACAGAGTAAAGTCATTAAACCCGTGAAACAAAATTTAACTATTAAAGTGTGATCAAATCGGAACAAAAGAAAACAATGCAGTTAGAGCGTACTAAGGTTTATTAGTGTAATATCTATTTCATGTAAATTGTCATATCTATATGTATTTGTCCTATAGGCCTTAAGTYTTCTGGTCTTGAAGAACGAGCTTCTACACCAAACAGTTTTAGACTAGCATCTAGTCCAAGGTCATCAACTGCCAGTCCTTTGCCTTCAAGTCCACGACTATCTGACTCTAAATCTTCAAAACACTCTTCCAATTCTCCCCAATCCAAACCATCCAATACGGACTCAGATATCGTTGTTGTTAAACAAGAATCTGATCCTACTAGCAGCAAAGTCAGTAGAGATACAGAGAGGGAAAAGAAGACAAGTKCTTATGAAATTCCCAAGGAACACCTTACTCAGGCTGAACAACTCCAGCTGTATCAGTACCATCAGAGACAAATGCTATTTGCACAGGTATGGTTGTGTATTTGAAACTATTTTAACAAAGCCTTTAGTGAAATACCACTACCACTAAGAACATCCTAAATTACTAAATTTGTCAAGTTTGAGAAAAAGCAACATTTCTTTGTAAAATTTGATGGCTTCTCTCAAACTTGAAAACTTTTCGAATTAGATTCGGTTTTTCAGTGTTCGCAATGGTTTTTCACTAACTGCTCGATTTTGAATGGCTGACTTATCATTGAAATGATATATAGTCCTAAATCCACGAGATGTCTATAATAGTAAGCCCCGAATAAAAGAGAAATATTGTATCACTTCCAAACTTGATATTGAACATCTTGTTTCACGTGTCCACTTCAAGCTTGAAAGTAGCTTTTTTATCTTCGCTAACATTACTTCTTGTTGCGACCTGAACACTGAGCCACAGCAATATGAGCCCTTACTGATGCATTTAATTAACTATTGGTGGATTGTTTCTCTAGCAGGCAAACATTGATCCGTTAGCAAGGTATGCTTAYTTAAGAAGCATTGGRTATGAGATTCCATGGCAAATTCCCCCTGAACAGCATATGAAGATGATGCAACAACAACAGAGATTACGAGCTGCTGAAGAAGAGAGAATCGAGGTACTTTTACTGCAACATTTTTTTAACACACTTATGTAAATTCTCGCACGCTGATTGGCTGTGTGTCAAATAGGACATGCACACTGTACAGACAGCTTCACGTCTCGCGCGCTCAGTTGAAAGAAAATAATGATTTTCGCATTTTTTGTGTTGACATGTTATTGCGGTTTGTAGTTCCAAGCTGCCAAAAGATCCAAAGAAGAATCTAGTAATGTCAAGTATGATAAGAGAGAATCCCATAGCCCAATGACATCTACGCCACCGAGGCTGGAGAGAGTTATGAAAGACCTATCACCAGGTGAAGGTTCTAGGAGTAGTACGTCGACCAGCGAGTCAGCCAGTAGAGGAATGCCATGTCTGGATCAGCCTCCTGAAAAGAAAACCAAGCTCGAGTTACCAAAAAATGATGAAACTGATCGTGAACTCCAGAAGCTACGACACAAACGGCAAGAAGAATACTTGTCAAAACAAAGCATGCAACATAAGTTTACTATGTTAAAGTGAGTAATCTTAAAAAAGAGTAGCGTCAAATACCAAAAATCTTATAGGGAAAGGCCAATAGTAAGAAATGACCTTATGGTTAGAAATTGTAMGAAATGTAGACTCGTTTTTATTGGATACATTTAACACGCTCCTGTACCAAATGTACCTTGATTTATTGCTGCTCATTATATCATTGGTTCAAAATTGGCCTCCTCCGCAGRCGACACTTCATCCTCTGGTATCCTWTTTTTCTGCTGAGAATAATGAAGAACTGAAAGGAAGAGACGCCTGCGGCGGAGGCTAAGGGGGATACTCCAGTGAATATGGTGCATGTTGCCCGCAATGCAGACGTTTTTACGTTGTAGGCTACGAGGCTAYGTTATGTATTAGCTAATTAAGGTTTTCTTTTTTAGACAACTAGAGAATGCAGGTGGTGCAGCCAAGACACATTCTATTCCACCAATATCAGATRCTAAAGATGACTATCAGAAGACTAAATATTCATCTACGGAATCGTCACATCAGGTGAGAGCGCTATRCTTTTGATGGTTTGATATGATAAAAACATTAATGCAAAGGTCAGGGCWTACGAAAAATCGCACAACATCACACGTTTTCTTAAAGTTTGCATTTTGGAGGCAGTTGTGTAATTTTAGTCCAATTTCTCTTATTCATAGGCTGTAGACAAAGCTCGAAAGACGGCAAGTGATCCTGAGGACAGCAGCCAATTGGAATTATCATCAAGGTCACGTGACCCTTCAAGAGATGTTCACTCGAAAGCCAAGAGAATGATGTCATCAGAACGAGGCTCGTTTATTCCCTCAAAATATCAAGAATATTTAACACACGATCAAATGTTGGAACGTTACGAACACAGTCAGCCTGGTAAGGAATARSTGACCTATTGCTAGAKTGCAAACTAACAAGCTCATCAAATAGTGCCAAACAGCACAAYATATTGTAGATTTTGTTTGTAGATTTTGTGTCTATTTRACTCRTATCGCACTTTAATAGTCAAGTTCTGTTTGTCAGGTTTACTCTRCACAAACTGTCGTATTTATTGTCTTATAAATATGAATTTGAGTCAATATAATAATGAGAACATTACATAGACGTCTCGAGAATTGCTTTGCTCACTCGTGATATGAACACYCGAAGATTAAATAGGTATTTACGCGCGTCCATGTAATCCTYTCWATCACATTGTAAACGTTCAAGAAGACATTTCCTTTTATTTGGATTTCATACTAATTGTTCCCTTTATTGTAGGCAACTCTCTATTGATACCAGGCCATGTAGATGCTTCTTATGTATCGTCACGAATCAGAGATCGGGATAGCACTAGTCCTTACAAATCACCTAGTCCCAGGCCCTCCTTGACGCGTAGTCCAAGCACATCCCATAGAACAAGTCCATATAAAATCGACAGGCCTTCAAGCTCACGATCCATAAGCCCACACAGGGTTCCAAGRCCTTCCTTTAGCGACGTTCATGGATATTCCTCCTCGTCATCGAGGAGTAGTGTCTTCAGTAGAGCAGACAAACCCAAATCACCACCACATCAAMCTGAACGACACAAAGCAGAGGTTTATTCTACAAACACTAGCAGTAGTAGGTCAGACGACACACCAATATCTCGCGCTGATAGCCCAAAACATGGTGGATATCGAGATCGACTTAAAGAGGACGCCGTGAGACCAGGTATCATATCCAATAATCTGGCAGTACGAAGGGGTGACGTAACGTCTACTATGGTAATCCCGGGTCATGGTCCTCCAGATGAAGAACTGTTAAGACGACATTCATATATGGTGTATCCTCAGTACAGGGCTATGATGGAACGACAGCAACATATGGAGCAAGTATACGGTTAGTAAGCAACTGGAACTACAGTCTTTGTAATCAAGCCCATTGCAAGAATTAATCATGAAGTTACGGAAATTTGTTTGTTCTTTTATTAAAGCAATCTCTGGACCTTCATTTTGTCTCATTTGATTGAAATATTGTCTTCAAACGTTGAATAGGCAATGTGCAACGACATCATGATGAGACTCCTTGCACTTTTTCGTGTTCACATAAACAGTTCTCCTTAGAAGTTTTTGCTTTTTCTTTACAAAAAGAGAAGAATTTGAGCCGTTTCCACAAAGAAAACACAAAAAAGATTTTAGGAATTTGTTTTAGGGGCTGTAAAAAGTGCAAGGACCACAAACCCATCATTCTTTGCGGTACAAAATGCCATCACTGCACATTGTTTATTAAATGTATTATTATGAACCAGAGTTTTCCAGGAACCATTCAGTACCCTGTCAGAGTTACCTATTGATCAATGCTCCGCTTGTTGTATCGGTGTTCACAATGTGAAAATCATTGAATACCTAGTCTCAAAGGTGATAGTTCATGAATTGTTTTTGGTTTAATTGCAGCCATGCAAAATGCATCGCGATCAGAACAATATTATAGTAAAAGGTATGTCATTTTACATGAGAGTACTTGCCTTTGTAATGCACACTAAAGAGACATGGTTCACCGGCATCCCTTGCGAGCTTCTGTTTATTTTTGAAAATAAAAATGCATCTTAATTTAATTGAATTGTATATTACATTTATATTGTAAAATTCGGAATTATATCTGACTTATGGAAACGGATTTCAAATGAATATTTAAACGCAATGAATGTTTGTGGACCATGGCCCTTTAATGACTAGTATTACAGTAAATAGGGAGACTCCTCTACTAACTATCATCAGTTCAAATGGTCTGGTTCATTCGAAACTGGGGAGAGACGCAGTGCGCACACTCGAAAGGCCTATCGTAACTACTGTAAACTTAGGATTTTGTTTGTCGGTGTTTTGAGTTTTGAACAAAATCGCAAAATTTATGAAAATTACTGAAAAGTTAAATTTATGTATGTGCAAAAACATTTTTGTATCCAAGAAGAAATATGCTTGCCTTTCATGTGTACGAACTCTTGACGATTTATCGCCATTTTTTTGTTTAGACATACGCATGCGCAGTGCGTTTTTCCCCATTGACAGTTCATTGATGTTACTACAAACCGTGTCGCATAATATGTATCTTTTTATATTGACTTTTGTATTGTTCATTCTTTTTTCAGACAATGAAGACGGCATTCCTCTTTCTTGTAGATCTCAATAGAWGAAATGGTAGTTTCGGATATATTGTTCCCATGGTATAAACAATGATTTTATTAGTTTAGTTTTAGAATTCCATTTGTAAATAAAAAAAATCATTTAAAAGTAGATTCACCCAAAAGTACTTTTAAAAAGAAAATTAAAGTGAAAATATATTTTAATCAGAAGTATAGTACGGAATCTTCTTAYGCAATAAAGTTAAATTGCTGGGYTATATTCCCGCGAAATTACAGATCTTTTTGCTTTTTTGTTATTTTCGACGTCCGTGCACTTTAAGACAAAGAGTGATAATTATTTTTGCAGTATTTTTTGTATTGACGGTGTGCTCAAAATTGTTTGCGTGCGTAACATCACCTTGATCATATCGTAGAAATTTAATCATCTAAAAGAGTAAACTTTTTGCCAACCAAATAATACGAACGTATACGGTGAGTCATAGTGGGTGAGAATATTTACGAAATTTACCCCTTTGAAAACAAAGAAGACGGGATTCCACGCAAAAATCACGCTTTATCTCGAACTCATGCCGAACTGCACGTACTGCGAAAGGAATGACAAAGTAAAAAGGTCTATTAAAAATGAAWATTGGAAATCACGCAAAAATCCCTCTTTCCGCCTCCTAAATAACTGGTACCCAGGCAAACTGAACAAAATACAATCTCGTACCCAGCGCACACTAGCGTTTTTTCGTGCAACTTGTGCCGCGCAAAAAAATGTTGTAAAGGCCGTGTCGCGCTAGCGTTTTTTTCGTGCAGCTTGTGTCGCGCAAAAAAAATGTTGCAAGTTGTACGATGTCATGTCATACTAGAAAATTTCGTTGCAACTTAGCTCGCGAAAGAAAATGTTCAAGTTGCACGCGTAAATTGAAAATGTACTTTCTGTCTCGTTTTCTTCTTCAAAATAATCGCTTTCTTTGGCGTCGGTCATCTTTGTTGATTATTATTACAACAAGTGACAGCAGGACAGATTCTCGCTTTCTTATTGGTTCGTGCGCCTAATTGAAAATTTTGGAAGTTGCAAGAGACCATGTCGTACACGCGTTTTTCCGAAAAATGTTGAAAAAAGTATAAGCCAGTTCTACTTTTCTCTCAACAAAAAATGAAATGTTCAAGTTGCACGAGGGGGTGTCACACGTAAAAAACGCTCGTGTAACTTCCAACATTTTTTTGCGCGAAAAAATGCACGGAAAAAAACGCTGGTGTGACACGGCCTTTACTGCGCATGCTCGACGAAAAACAAATGTCGCATTGTCAAATAACTTGGGATTCCTGTCTACTCTTAAACTAGAGTAGACTAGGGCCGAAAATGAAAAGAAGAAAATGGCGGCAAATTCGTTAAATTCTATTTACAAACAAACGAGCCAAGAACAGAGTTCTTTATTAAATTCTTCACTTGAAAAAACACACCAAGACTCCAAATAT